AAACAATAGAAGACACCAGAGAGATATGTTCCAAAATTTCCAAAGCAGCACTAACATCCCTAAATGGAAAACCACCCAAATCTCTAGCAACAAAAGAATGGATAAATTTATCATTATGTATTCATACAATAAGATACTATAGATCCATGAAAATAGTCAGAAAATTCACAAACATAGGGAGTGATTCCCAAATGTAATCATGAGAAGACATACGGTAAACAGTACAATATATATCATTCTTATTCTACAGAGTACAAGAACAGGTAGAACTAATTGATTTTATAGATGAAGATTGTGGCTATGTTTAGAAGGTATTACTCATAAAAGGAATGAGGAGGACCTCTGATGTATAGTAACTTCGCTTCTTAATCTGGTTGCTAATTGCATTTCAAACTAGACTACTAGTTTGAAAAAATTTATGAGCTATATATGGGTGATATGTGCAATTTTCTGTATTTATAGTCAGTAAAAGTTTTAAAAATTGGAAGTAATATTTTATCCGGCTTCTCAGCATTTTAAGGCAAAAAATGCATTATGTATTTTTAATACAATGCCATATAATCCTTTATTTTTAAGAAATCATCTGGTTATTTCATATCATGTGATAGCAATTTTAATGATTAAGAAAGATGGAGGGAAGTATGAACAAGAATAACATTCAATTTGTTGATGAGGTGTCAATGCAATAATATAAAAAACAGATATGCTTCCTGTTTGCCCACTTATCTCTCCAAACAACAGGACAAGATGATGAGAATGGATCTTACTCACAGCTGTGGTCTCATAGAACCAAGGCATGCAAAGCAGAAATAACTCAGAAAAGTTACTTTCCTTTCAGAACTATTTGACGGCACCAAACTTTCCTCAAAGCATTCTTCATCTCCGTGTTTCTAAGTGTGTAGATCAGAGGGTTGAACATGGGAGCAATGATGGTGTAGAATAGAGCAAACACTTTATCTTCTGGGAATGTCGTGGCGGGTCTAATGTAAATAAATAAAGCGGGTGCAAAAAACAGGACCACAACCATTACATGAGAACTGCAAGTGGAAAGAGCTTTGTGGCGACTCTCCATAGAGAGTCCTCTGATGGTATATAATATAAAAAAAAAGACAAAATCAAGACAACAAAGGTCACGAAAGCAATCAGGCCTGAATTAGCAATGACTAAGAGACCTATTATTTGTGTATTAGAACAGGACAATTTCAGCAAAGGATATATGTCGCAGAAGTAGTGATCTATCTCATTGGGGCCACAAAACGGTAGGAAGATGGTGAGAAGAAATTGACTGGCAGAGTGAATAAATCCCCCAGTACAACAAGCTGTGATGATGGCATTACACTTTTGCCTGTTCATCATGACAGTATAGTGCAGGGGCTTGCAGATGGCCACATAGCGGTCATAGGCCATTCCTGTGAGAATGAAGATCTCTATGCCTCCGAAGAAATGGATGGTAAAGAGCTGTATCATGCAGTTATTATAGGAAATGGTCTTCCTTTCTGCCAGTAAATCTGCCATTAGTTTGGGGGTCACTGTGGATGTATAGCAAAGGTCAGAGAGTAAAAGATAATTGAGTAAGAAATACATGGGTTGGTCAATTAGCTGACTGCACATGATAGAAATCATTATGAGCAAGTTTCCCGTCCAAATAGCAATGTAGCAAAATAAAAATAATACAAAGCACAGTATTTCAATGTTCTTGCTTTGGGAAAGTCCCAAAAGAATAAACTCAGTGACATTACTGTTTTTTTCCATGGTTCAGTGTAGATAGAACACATAAATCACCTGAAATGACATAATTCATGAGCTAACAGTTACAAGTGTTGTTGAGAAGTATGATGATGATATTCTATCTGAGGAACTAGGTAGGTTTAATTTACCTCATTCAAGTGTCTCAGAGAATTAAAATATGGCATTCAATTAAAATGACTCCCTAATAAGACTGTCTAGATGATTTCTATTAA